AGCATACCACACTGATCACTCTGGGCTTACTCGCCTGCGTGCTCGTCTGTCTCCTCACTAGACTGTAAGCTCCTTGAGGGCAAGGACTGTCCTTCAATTTTTGTATCAACAGCACCTGGCTTGGTGCGTGGCACATAGAAAGCACTCAATAAATGTTTGTTTACTGAATGATTTGTAGTGATGTGTACAGCGGATAGCAAGGGATGCAGGCTAGCTTCCTGGAGGAAGTCCAGATGCTTTCATAGTCTCAAACTAAAGCCATAGGTCCTTCCTTCCTCCCCCTAGATATGCCACCTGTGCCCCCCTGACCTGCAGAAACCACAGTGGCAGGGAAGCCCATGGCAGGGTGACACATTGGCTGTCTCCCACCCTACTCTGAATGTGGAGGTGAAGCATGAGGCCTGGAGCCTGCAATAGGACTTAATCTGAACAGGAGGCAGATTTGCCAGTGCTGCCTCACCCTGAAAGCCTGTCCCTGATGGGCTGTTTAGGGGGAGGGGGAGCAAAGGGGACACCAGAGTGTTACTTTTACAATGCTAAGGCCTAGGATAGAGACTGCCACTCTGAGCTTTGGGCTGCTGTCCTAATTTGAATCTCTTGGGGGGTGTCCAAGAGATTTCTTTTTAGAGAGAAGGGAGACCTGGGATCTGGGCTTTTGTTGAGGGGCAGGGGCTCTGACCCTTGATCTTGGGAATGGGAATCCTGTGGGCACTCCTCCCCTTCTTCCCTGTCCGCAGCATGAATGGCCATACCTCGGCCTTCATTGGCCTGCCTCAGGTCGAGAGGCTACAAAAATAAGTTTATGGGGGGGGTTGGGGGGAGGGCAGAATGGGGAGCCCTTGATGAGCTCGCACTGCTGCCAGGAAGGCTTCGTCAAATGTCTCACGCAGGCTCATGGCTAGAGTGTCTGTCCAGAAGGTGTTGTCGCCCAAGTACCTCTTCCGATCTATGTCCCTTATGCTGACAGAGTGGAGGCCCTGGGGCACCTTCATCCTACACGGCCGCACCTGAGGGTACAGCTCCCGGACTATCACCTCCAAAGGCAGCCGAGGCACAGGTGCCACCTGGTTGCCAGTCACCGTGCGCAACTGCGCACCACCATGCCCATCAGACCTGATCTTGAGGAATCTGCAGAAGTCATGCTCGGAGCTGGGGTCTGGATGCACACCCAGGCGGATGCCCTGCGGGTAGCTGATCTGGGTGGTGGGGGATCTGGCCGGGTTGTTGTTAGGATTCCACGACTTGGGCTGCCTGACTCTGTGCTGCTCGTAGATGGGTGTGAATGCCCCCAAGGGCTGCGGCGCGGGCTGTGGTGTCTGTTGCAGGTGCACCAGTGGGAAGGGGTGGAAGCTCTTGGGAGGCTTGGGGATCTTGGAGAGGGAGATGGCCCAGGGTGGGGCTCGGGACTCTTGCTTAGTGTTGTGGATCAGAGATTGGCCTCGGGGCAGTAGCTTGTGATGGAGCCACTTCTTGAAATCAGCCTCTTTCAGCATTTGGTGTTCTTTCTGTAGTGTCAGAGAGCACAAGGCAGTTGAGGAGGGCTGCTCCCTCTGTGCTTCTGTGGAAGGAGACCCTGTGGCTATAGCCCTTGAAAACCTCAGGTGTGATTGGTCGGACACTGTCCCACCCAGGGAGCCCTGAGTCTGATGGGAGAGTCCCCTGCCTTATGGCAGCCCTTGTTCTGATGGGGAAACAACTATTGCCTGAAGGGAGCCCTGGACTGATGGGGCAGACAGAGTCTCTCTCATAGGAGACCTCCAGTCTGATGGAGACCCAGCCTCCACCCTAGGTGAGGTCTTCAACTTGAGAGGGAAGACACAATCTCTGCCCTACAGAAAACCTTGAGTCTGAAGGGAGCAACCCATTTTGATAGTGGAGACATGTCCTGTCCTAAGAGAATCTCTGGTTTGATGGGAGGGAAAGGCCCATGAGAAGTGCAAGCTGTATCCTTGACCCTGGAAGGAGAAAGCAGAAAGGTTTGGAAGGCCTGGAGCTGGGTGGAGCTAATCTGGGCAGGTTTCTTAGAAGGGGTTGGTCTCGAGCAGTCATGTAAGGGGATACAGTTGGCTGACCCTCCTGGCTGGGTGGTGATAATTTGGTCTAGCTGCCTGTTCTTGCCTCCACTATAGTTGAACCTTCAACATGTCACAGAACTGTCCCCTCCCTGCCCCTATCTCAGTGTCACACTTCCCAGACTGGTGCTAAGCCATCAGGTGGTTTGGAGATTGACCCAGCTCTGGAGGTAGGCTCTGATTAGGCTAAGCCTCTCATAATAATTCCATCAGCCTTTCCCCAGACCTAGGTCAGTCAGCACATGGCTTTACTTTAGCTTTAGGGATTGGAACAAGAATGGACAAATGATCCAACTGAGGTCAATAAGAGATGAGGGGAAACCTGCAAGGGGCTTCTGGGAAAGTTTACAGCCACAGGAACAGATGGGCTTTGCCTCCTCAACTGTGAAGACTGGGTAGCACTGACAACAGAGGAGGGCAGGGCTGAGAAAACTGGAGAGATGTGCAGCTGGAACAGCCAGAGTCCTAGATTTGCCAGCCCCAAAGCCTTCCCTGCTTCTGGATCCAGTTACGATTCCCAGCATATTCTTTCTGGGTTTTCTGATTCTTGCATCCTATGTAATTATACCTGCTTCAACTCCTTTAGTGACTCTCTTCTTCCCCAGCCAAGGTCTGTCATTGACCAGGGCCCCTGCCTAATCTCTAGCTTGTCAAACTCCAACTCACATCAGACCCCCTGGCTGTCCTGAATTTGCATTTCTCGGTATACATCACGAATCCATGTGCTTCTGTCTCCCCACAGGGCTGTCTGTTCCTTCTGCCTGGTCAGCCCTTCCCTGCTTCTTCATATGGCCAACTGCTGCCCATCTTTAAAGACTCCTCTTAAGCATTATCCCTCTGGCACCCCCTGGACCCCTTTTTCTGTGGGAATATAATCTACCTCCCATACTAAACTCTAAGCTCCCTGAGTGAGAGGATCACCTCTCATTGGTCTTTGGAGCCGCAGGGTCTAGCAGGTGCCTAGCAGAGGTGTGTGCTCAGTGTCTGTTGGAAGATGGGTCTTTTTAACCAGTGTACTTTCCAATAAGGCAGGACCTGGGTCTCATTAGAGATTCTCCTCACCAAAAGGAGGCACTGCACTAGGAGGGGCTTCATAAATACTTGCTAATTTAAGCTACTTTTGCTTTCTGGCACAAGACAAGACTTTTGACCTAAAGGAGTGGCTTCTAAGGGTAGAATTTTAGTCAGAGGAGGGGGAGAGGGAGGCTCTCTCTGGATGGGACTGCTTCTAGCCACTCTAACCGCACATGTGAGTCACTGCCTCTGCTCACATGCCTTGATAGTAGCTGATGTACAGGGCCCCGGCAGCCCTGCCCCTTACTTGACACTCAGTCAGGTGGCCCTGCTCCATGAGGGCCAGCTGTCCTTTGAGCCTCTTCAGTTTCCCCATCTCACAGGCAAAGTCCTTCTTGTCCCGTTTCCACATGGCATCCTTCAAGAACCTGGTGCCAAGGTGAGGACATCCCCCAGTGACTGGGCTTCAACCTGGGAAGACTGGCTGCTGCTGAGGGCCTGGGTGGGCATGGGAGGGGCTGCCAGAGATGAGATGAACAAGATGACCCATCCCACTGCCAAGGCCCCTCTGGCTAACTACTTCCTGTGAGGTGAGAGAGGAAAGTGTCTGATGGTCTGATCACTACCCTCCTGGTAAGGAGCCGGGGCAGGAGGGCAGTGCTAAACCCAAAGGGGTGAGGCCTCTGGAAAGGCCCAAGGAATAATATCCTGGGAAGGGGCCAACTCTTCAGACTTATCCCCTAGCCACTGGCTTCCCAGACCCTCCTCATAAAGGCTCCACCTAGGGTGAGGGCCCCAGGGGCAAGGCTGGGAGAGGGAAGGGGTGGCAGGCTGGAGGTGGTTCTTCCACCCTCACCGAGCACAGATGCGGCGGTTCCATATTTTGCAATAGTCGATGGGCTTGCAGCCCATGGCATCTTGGGCATGGACATTGGCACCACTCTTCACCAGGACCTTCACACAGCTCAGCAGCCCCTCCCGGGCTGCCAGGTGCAGCGGTGTGGAGCCCTTGCATGTCTGACTGTGGAGGCCCCGCCAAGGGGAAGAAGGCAATAAGGAAGGACAAAGGGCATCTACCTATCAGGTAGGTTGGAAAACCAGCTTCCAGGCCTGCTCTGTCACCAGCCCACTGGGTGACACTGGCATGTCCCTTCTCTGTCCCTCAGTGTCCTCGGCTATAGAAGGAGGATTTGGACTAAATGAGCAGTTGTTCTGGTTATGGGGGTATGGGACAGTGAAGAACTGCTGGGACGAGAGCTGGGTGGGCTGAAGCTGAGACCACTAAACTCACCCTCTGAAATCAGCCAGCCCTCCTGCCCCTTCCCGTGCCTGGCCATGGCCCACAAGCCTGTGTGCCCTGGGCCCTGCCTCGTCCTCCACCTCATCCTCTGACCTTGCAGCACTCATTCCCAACACATGGCCTTTGCACATGATGTTCACTCTGCCTGGGACACTTTTCTCTGGCTCTTTGCATGGCTGGCTCACCATCTTCAGGTGGTACTTTAAATGTCACCATTTTAGAGGTGACTGCCCCGTCCAAAATAGATCCTCTCCCTACCCCCTTTACTCCCCACCCCACCACCATTTGTTCCCTTCATAAATACCACACTCTAGTCCTTAATTTACTTATTATGCTGATTTACTATCTGCTGCACTATGAGGATATCAGCTTCATGAGAGCAGGGACCATTCCTGTGTGTTCACTGCTGTATCCCTCACCTCCGGCACAGCGCTTAGCACATAGTACATGCTAGATAAATATTGAGTGAATGCAGTCTCCTATGTGCCATCCATGCACTTTCCATGCACTTTCTGAATTATCACAATAGTCTCATGTGATAGATACTGTCATCCTCCCAAATTTCATTTGAAGACACCGAAGCAGTAAGCAGTCCCCAAACTTTGGGGCAAATTAGAAACATACGTGTATCTTTTAAGACTTAGCAAAGCCCAGGCCACACCCCCAACTAATTAAATTACAACCTCTGGATTGGGACACAGGCATTGGGCTTTTTGAAGTTCCCCAAGGGATTCCGATGTACTGAAGAGCACTGAGGCTTAGGGTTCAGTGACTTGCCTGAGATCTTGATGTTTGCTAGCAGGTGGAAAAGCTGGGACATAAATTAGTTCTGTCCTCTCCCAGAGCCCAATTTCTTCATGTGGGCTCTCTAACTGCTTTATGTGGGACCCAGTTCACCCCACAGCCCCTCTGCCTGTCCTGCATGGATCTGCCTGCCGGAGGTGGGTTCCTATCTTCCCAGCCTCCAAGCCACTCTGCTGATGCGGGCTGGACTCACGTGTTGAGGGACGCCCCGTGCTCCAGAAGATAGTGAATGCAGGGGAGGACCATGTTCTTGTTTTCCTTGTGGATGACGAGGTGCAGTGGTGTCTGGCCATTGTTGGTGGGCAGGTCCACGGGAAACTTGTACTCCTCTACCAAGACCTGCAGGCATTCTAGCTGGCAGCTTTGGGCTGCAAAGTGGATGGCAGAGAAACCCTGTGGTGGCCAGAGGAGGGCAGGAAGAGGCTGAGCAGGATGGGGACCCCAGGGTCCAAAACCTAACCTAGGCAGCAGTTCCTTGGGGTTCTCCTTCCCTTCTTCCCTCTGACCTCCACACCCCCACCCCTCCAGAGTCACTCACTCCTTTCCCACTTTGGTATGATGTGCTCATTTACTTGATGCTCCCATTGGCCCTCCCACAATGGGAGGTGAATTAGGATCATCTTCCCAGAAGCGGGCTCCTCTGGATGCTCTCTGCCAGGTGAGCACTATGTGAGGAGCTCTTGGTGGGAGGGGAGGATCTCGATCCTTGCTCCTGCACTCCAAGGCCTTACCTTGTTATCGGTAGGGATTTCCTCAAGGTCCGGATCCAGACAGAACCGCAACCATTTCAGGTTGCCCAAGGCGGCAGCGAACCACTCGGAATAGCTGCCAATCGCCCCCTGGTTCCTCTTATCGCTGGAGTCAGCGCGGGGGTGGGGGAGGGAGGAAGGAGAGATGGAGGAAGCAGCGGCAGGTCCCAGTCCCACGTGGGCCAGGCTGTCACTTGCTCACGAGACGTTTACTGAGGCTGGCCAGCAAGTCGGGGAAGCAGCAGTCCCCGAGCGTCCCCGACCCCCTTCAGGAGGCCAGCCAGGGCCCCAGATCAACTTTCCCGGCTTCTCAGCACCCCCACCCCCCGGCTCCGCTCCAGGCGCTGCCGCCCCAGGGAGGCGCTGAGCGCGTGCCCGGCTGCAGCCCGCCACCTACGCCCCCGCTCACCCGGGCAGCATGGACTCGGAGTTGCTCCAGAAGAACTTCTTCCAGGAGACTTTGTCTGCCAGCTTCAAGGAGGCGGGCGTTGTGGGCGGGGCCTGCGTGCCCCTCCTCTCCCAGCTCCCGGTCACCGAGTGGCACCGCTGAATCCCCAGCGCGCAGCCCTCCAGCCGAGGGTGCAGCGAGCTCATGCTGCGCTGGGCGCGGGAGCCGGGCCGCCAGGAGCCGGCGGAGGGACCGAGCCCCTGCGAGGACCCCGCCCCCTGCCTACCCGGACCCCCTACTTGCCCCGGCCCACTCATCCTGGAAACAGCCTCAGACACACGCACAGCGCGCTGAAAGGCCTTAGCTTTTGTTTCTGATTATAAAAGTAATTAAGTGCCCATTGTAAAAACGGAAAAAGACAATGAAGAAAGAAAAAACCCACAATCCCACCAATCAGAAATCACCATCTGTCACGATATGTTGCATATCGTATAGAGAGTTTGTACCTCTTTTCACTTAGCGTTATATTATGAGCTAACTGCCATCGACATTCCTTACGACAAACGCGCAGTGTGACGCAACCCTAGCCCACGTGACGTAACCCTGGCCCCGCGCCCGGTGGCTGCGCTGCCGTTTCACACGTGCTGCGGGCAGCTCACTGGCACGGATTTCTGTAAGTAGAATTACCCCGTGACAGGGAATGAACATTTTTTTAAGCTGTTGATATGTTTCCAAATTGCCCTCCAGCAAGGTTTTATTCTCACTTACACATCCACCTGCAGTGAAGCAGGTTCTACACATCAGGGGTGTGACAAGTTGCTTCGGGCAAGTTACTTGACTTCTGTATCTCAGTTTCTGCATCAGCAAAATGGGGATAATTGTACCTACTTCACAAGGAGGGAAGGGATGCAAGCGATGAGAGGAGGCTGGCTGAGTAATTTGCTATAATTAAAAGGAACTATTCCGCCCTGCCTGTGTGGCTCAGTGGTTCAGCGTGGACCTATCTGATCCAGGACCTGTGACCCAGGAGATCGAGGTTCAGGGCACACGCCCGGGTTTCGGGGGCTCCCCAGCAGGGGGCGTGCAGGAGGCGGCAGATCAATGACTCCTCATTGATGTTTCTATCTCTCCTTTTCTCTCTCTGAAATCAATAAAAATATATATTTTTAAAAAACAAAAGGAACTATTCCAGCCATCACCAGCACTGGGTATTATGATTTTAAATAAATGTTCGCTAATTTGGAAGTGGCTATGGTGTTCTAATTTGACTCTTTGATTACCAGCAAGGGTTAAACAATTGATTATCAGGTTTTTTCTCTCTTCCGGGAGTTAGCTGCTTATTCACGTTGTTCATCGAGGGCCTTAGTGTGTGTTAATTGATTTGTAAAACTTATTAACATAGTAACCCTTTATGTATTTTTGTTGTCAATATTTTCCTCAGTTTGCCTTTTAACTTTTTACAATATATAGTAGTCAACAGTGTTGCTTGAATCAGTGTTGTTACTGAACTATTTATGTTCTCACACCTTCTTAATTAAAAATGGGCAAAGAACCTGAATAGACATTAATCCAAAGAAGATTTACAAATGGCCAATAAGCACATGAAAAGAAGCTCAACATTAATCATAAGGGAAATCAAAATCAAAATCATACTGAGATATTTCACACCCATTAGAATGGCTAAAATAAAAAACACAGATAATAGGTGTTGTCCAGGGTGTGGAGAAATTGGAACCCTCATTCACTACTGGTGGGAATGTACAACGGGATAGCCACTCTGTAAGTGGATTTGCAACCAGGCAGTCCCTCAAAAACATTACACATAAAGTCACCATCTGACACCCAGTCATTTCACTCCTAAGTACATACCCAAGAGAAATGAAAACATATGTCCACACAAAAACTTGTACATGAGTGTGGAAACAACCACATGCCCATAAACTGATAAGTGGATAAACAAAAGGTGGTATATCCATGCTGTGGAATATTATTTGGCAATAAAAAAAATGAAGTACTGATATGTACTATAGTGCTTGAACTTTGAAAAGATGCTAAGTGAAAGAAGCCAGTCACAAAAGACCACATATTGTATGATTCCATTTATATGAAATGTTCAGAATAGGCAAAGCCTAGGGCTGGGAAGGGTTTGAGGGGCGATGGCTAGCAGTGCAGGGTTTCTTTATGAGGCAATGAAAATGTTCTAAAACTGATTGTGGTGATGGTTGCACAACTCTGTGAATATACTAGAAGTTGTTGAATTATACAATTATAAATAGGTAAATTATAGGGCATGCAAATTATATCTCAATAAAATTGTTATTAAATAAAAACAACCCTATGCCTTGTAGACATCTATAAGCTTTCCCCAAATGGCTGAATTGTCATGGGGGTGGGACTTTTATTCTCAGGGTCTCCTTTGGTGTCAGTTCTTGATCCAAGAATTCTGGCTGGTTCCACAACACATTGACCCAGAAATGGAACTCAGCCTTTTTTCTGAAGTTCCATCCCTCCAACCCGCCCTGCCTCTTAGGAAGTGTTCATGACTTCATTGTAGATGAAGAAGAGGAGATAGGAGGATGACATTACAGAGGGGCAGGCAGCTTTCAAAGCAACATCCAGTATCCTGGGTTTTAGGGTGTCTTTCAGCCATTCTTAATTGGGGCTTCTCCTCAGCCTTTCACCCCCTCCCCATGTCCCTCAGGCTCTCTCTCCAGGAATTCCCCTCCCTTCCTGTCTGGAACACACCAAATTCCTTCCTGGCATCTCTCAGAGCTGGCCAGTCAGACAAATCTTCTGTGGCCTAGATTGTCCTTTACATGACCTCTGAGCTCAACTTCCACCCAAGAAATTTATCAAGATGTTTCTTAGCAAAGTTAAATATCTTCCATGTGGCTGGGGTTTTTTTTGGTTTGTTTTGTTTTTAAGTGGAGAGAATAGTTTAACGAACCTCATCATCTCCAGCTTTAACAATTATCAACGTTTTGCTACTCTTGTTTTCACATAAGATAAATTCTTCATCTCACTTACTTCTCACTTGGGGGGCTTTTAAAATAAAAATACAAAAGCTCCTATCAGAACGAGACCTAAAATACATGCTTGACAATCTGTTCTCTCCCAGCGCCAGGAGCCAGGGGGAGGGGTGGATCACGCCGGCCCCCCATAGCCAGGGGGGCTGAGGGTGGGCGCAGAAGCGGCTGGCTGGGGTGTGTGGAACACGGGGGGCGGGGAGGGGCGCGCGGACAGGCTCGGGAGGGCAGGGGCCCCAGGCGCCGTCGGGGCGGCTGCGGGCGGGCTAGAATGCAGTGTCCGTCGCGGTGTCCGGCGGCGCCCCCTCGCGGGAGTAGAACTCATCGACCACGCTCTGCGGGATGCGCTTCAGCATCTCCTTGGGGAAGATGCGCAGCAGCTTCCAGCCCAGGTCCAGCGACTCGAACACCGAGCGGTTCTCATAGGGGCCTGGGGACAGAGCGCGAGTGTCAGGTGCGCGCGCGCGTGCGTGGGCCTCGGGGTAAGGGGGTTACCGCAGGACGCCCCCCCCCCCCNCCGCGCCTCACCCTGGTTAATGAAATTCTTTTCGAACTTCTGCAGGAATTCCAGGTAGAGCAGGTCCTCGGGAGTGAGCGCCTCTTCCCCCACCACGGCCTTCATGGCCTGCACGTCCTTGCCGATGGCGTAGCAGGCGTACTGCGGCGGGGCAG